GCTGTAGCAACAGTGGCCTTCCCCCCCACCTCCCCCTCTTCCCACCCACCTCCCCCTCTTTCCTCCTATCATGATCAACTCCTCCCTCTCCCCTGGCTTTCCGCAAACAGTGCAAAACTTGAATTATCCAAGAGGGCTTTTCTGCACAGGTAGTCGGCAAAGTTACTTGGGTAAATGATAAAGGATTGTCGTATATAAGGGACCGTGGGTATGTGCTACTGGGTACAACGTACTGCAAGAAGGATCCTACTGTGTAATCGTTCCACTCTGTAATGTGTCATGTGAATACGCGTGCTTTGCTTCAGGTCTGTCTTTTATATTTCTGGTGGTTCCAGACTTCTGTAGGCCTAATCCTGTTTATTGAATGTCCCGTTTTGTTGATAGTATTGTCTTACTCCGTAATCCGCTTTGAGTCCCTGTAATAAAGGCAGGACTATAAATAACATAAATAAAGATCATGTCTCCCCCCCCCCCAATCATCTTCTAGGCTTAATACAGAAATTTAATGGGTATGCACGGCCTCTGTGTCACTGTGATACCCGGAAACTTGCAGACTTGGTTCACTGTGTTGCCCCTGGCCTCTTAGAGCCCAGGGTCCAGCCATCGGGCAGAAGCTGTGCTCTTTTGGGATTTGATATTTTGGGCCAAGGCCTGCCTTGCTCGCTGGCCCTTTTCCGGAGGGCTCCAAGGAAGGCGCAAAAGGCTGGGCTTTGGCCAGAGAACAGAGACTCCTCCTGCTGCAGGATCGCTTTGGGAGCAACGTCCCTGCTGAGCCTCCTTGTCCCGGTCGGATTATTTTAACAACCCCTTTCTCCGTATGACTCCGCAGGTTACCCTGATCACATGGTCTTTGCAGAGTTCCGACGGCGCTTCGATGTCCTGGCCCCCCACCTGACGAAGAAACATGGGCGCAATTACATTGTCATGGATGAGAAGCGGGTACTTTGGTGGGGGGGGCTAGACTGAGAAATAGCAACTGGGCCTTCTGGGGCTAAGCCTCCAAGAGGGCCTGCGTGGTGGCGGCGGTGGTGGTGGGATTCTTTGGTTTCCGTCACGGAGGGAGCAACACGGGAGGTGGCCGAGCATGCTGTCTGGTGATGTGGTTGTCAGGCAGCCATTGATGCTTTCTGTTCTCCTCCAAGGCAGTGGAGGAGCTCTTGGAATCGCTGGAACAGGAGAAGAGCAGCTTCCACATGGGCTTGAGCCGGGTAAGAGCAGCCGGTGTCTTGGGGACGGAGCTGTCCTTCCCTGCAGAGGTATCGCCAGGCCCCTGCACGGTGGAGGCCGCGTTCTGTCCAGGCAGAGGAAGAGAAGGGAAGGGAGAGCTCAGATTTGGGGCGGAAGCGTCTGGGGATTGGATGCCTAGCCATGCTCCCTCTAAGCTGTGGAGTCTTGTGAGCAGAAATTCTACTTTGTGAGCTCCTGGCATTAAAGTTGTGAGCGAGCGACTTGGCCGCTGCATCAATCAGTTTTCTTTGGAGCCTTCCTTCCTGAGCGAAGACAAAAACGTGTTAGCTCACACTAACTCAGCTTAGAGGGAACACTGAATTGCCTGGCATCCCACTCGCACCTTCCATGTGGGGTGTTTTTTAAAAAAAATCAAAATTCTTCGACAGCCAGAACTGAATGCTGAAGCCTCTGTGCACCATGCAAAGGTGCATGATTCTTCCCTGTGCTCTGGTTACTTTACGCTGCTTTCCTCAGTCCTGGGGAGTGGGGAGGGGCTCTGTGGCAGGCTGATGACCTGACGACTGGGAATCTTCCTTGGCAGCTTCTGCCCGTCTTGAGTCTCGGCAGACATCGCCCCCTGTGCTTCAAAGTGTACTTTTGCATCCATGTGGGCTAGAAACTTTTGCAGGGTTTTTTTAAACCATGTGGGCTAGAGACCTTCCACGGTCAAAACCACATCCCGCAGGCTTTAGGCCTGGCTCCAGGAAGGCATCAGCCTCTCGGTGCTGGTTCTGGTGTGAAGGCCAGACTAGTGGCGACTAGGGCTAGGGTTTTTTCGGTGGCGGCTCCTACCTGGTGGAATGAGCTCCCAGAGGAGATCCGGGCCCCGCGGGACCTTGCACAGTTCCGCAGGGCCTGCAAGACGGAGCTCTTCCGCCAGGCGTTTGAGTAGGAGCCGCCGCGACTGTTACCATCTGTCTACGACTATTACTATCTGCCCTAGCCCTTTATTACCAACTCACCGTGAGCGCGAAAATGGTGGTACTGTGTGGAGCTGTGGCCACTAAGGATACCATCCTGATGACGTCATCTGTTCCCTTGTTAGTTGTTGTGGAGAGCACTTATGTTGTACTGAATGTTTTTAAAATGCAGTTTTAATGTTTTATGTATTGGGCATTGTCCCCATCTGTACGCCGCCCTGAGTCCGTTCGTGGGGAGGGCGGGTTATAAATTTAAATAAATAAATAAGGCAGCATTGGGGGTGCACGGGAAAGGGCTTGGGGAGCCTTGTTTGGGACTCTCTAACTCTGACCTGGATAGGCCAGACTAGCCTGATCTCGTCAGATCTCGGAAGCTAAACAGGGATGGTTGGTACTTGGATGGGAGACCTCCAAGGAGTACCAGGGGTGTGAGGCAGGGGCAGGCAATGGTAAAACGCCTCTGAATGCCTCCTGCCTTGAAAGCTCTACGGGGTCACCGTCAGTCAGCTATGGCTTGACTGGTGTGCACAGGCGCGCACACAGCTCTTTAATAGCACGTGGGAAGGTCTTTTCTCAAGTTTCTGCCCCAAGTGCGGCCCGCATTAGGTTGGATGGATGAACACCCACCAGCGGGGCCTTTCCGGTGGTGCCTCCCTGGAAGTCCCTCCACACAGAGGCTTGTCTGGTGCCAGATTGGCAAACCTTTCGGTGCTCAGCAGAATTGCCCCAAACCCTTTTTTAAATGGCTCTCGTGGCCTACTGGAGGGGTGTTTTTCTAATTCCCCGGTAGAGGATTCTGCTGCCATTAGGGCTGCTCTGGAACAGTTTTCCTTTTCGCCTGCTGTGCACTTCATCTAGCCGAGTCTGCGTTTGATTCTTTTATCTGCCGCTAGATAGTTTTAGTGGTTTGTTGTCTTAATTGACTTTTTGCGAGCCACTTTGGAGGTATTGTGTAGACAAGGCCGGGTGTGAACATTTAAAAAACAACTGCGGTGGCAGCATGCTGCTGCTCGGCTGTTCTGGGGCAGCAGGGAGCTCCTCCCCAACGTTGTCTGTCTCCACCAGAGCCACGTCGCCAGCAGCTAATATGCAGGGACAGCCTGGCTCAGGCAGGCAGGAGGGCGCACGAGAGGCCTGTCAGAACGATTTTGCATATCCCAGAAACCCGCAAATTCAAAGCGAAGAGAGGAGAGGCCCGGCTGAACCGTGCACACTTCCTCCTGCTCCAGTCCTTTGTAGAACATCGGTGTGAAATGGGTACCCTGGCCCACAGGGAAGCTTGGAAGAGAGCGATTGCGGGACAGCCACTGGGGTTCACATTGCTCAGTCCTTACCGTTCCTTGCAACCGAAGCCGTCAGAGTCCCCAAGGGATTACTGGGGGCTGGCAGACTCACGGCTGAGCAGACCCCGGGGTTGGTTCTGGGCCCGGATCCGCGGGACCCCACTTGTCTGTGCTACCTGCAAGGGTTCATGGGGGCCTGCCCTTCCCCACCTCTTGGCCAAAAAACCCAGCAAATAACAACTGTGTACTGCACAAACCCGCACCAAAGTTAACAAAAAGAGACTTCAACACAAAGGTAATTCAATACATGTAATCCATCATAGGAAAATACAAAAGTCCACAATATCCCAAAGGGAAAGAACAAAGTCCAGAATAGAAATTTCTCAAAGGGAAACAATGAAGTCTGGAATAGATATCAACACTTTTCCTAGGTATTGTTCAGTGTTTCGGACTTCTGGTCCTTCCTCAGGAACAAAAAGCCACAACAGGAAGTCTCATTGCAATTTCTTAACAGGCAAACTTTATTCAGTTTCTATATGGGCCAGGTCTCCTAAGCTTTAGAAAGCACCTACCAAGGTTGCTATTATGTAAGTTGGACCAAGCATGCCTCCAAAGGTTGAATTACCTTTGTGTTGAAGTCTCTTTTTGTTAACTTTGGTGCGGGTTTGTGCAGTACACAGTTGTTATTTGCTGGTTTTTTGGCCATTGTTTACTGTGGACTGTATCCTTCCCCACCTCTTGCCTCCGTTGTCCTTGAGGGGAGTGTGGGGTGGTGGCAATGTGAGGCCACCAGGAAAGGCCACATTTCATTCATTGAAAACATCTTCACACCTCCTTTCCACCAAAATGGGGTCCCCCCATGGTGGTGAACATGAAACATTTTAGCATTAAACAGCATTTAAGATAAATGGGGGGTGGGTGGGAAGTGCCGTCAAGCCACAGCTGACTTGTGATGACCCTGTGTGGTTTCCAAGGCAAGAGACATCCAGAGGTGGTTTGCCGTTGCCTGCCTCTGCGTTGCAGCCCTGGGCTTCCTTGGCGGTCTCCCATCCCACGGCTAACCAGGGCCAACGTGCCTTGCCACGTCTCCTGCCACAAGGTCCTTTCGCCTACCTGGTCGCAGCAGCCAACTCTCTCAAAGGGCACGATGGGCTTGCTCCCAAAGCATCTGTCTCAGTACAGTGATTCTCTTTCGTGCTGGAAGAGAGCCCGGTTCCTGACTTGGGTGCGTTTGCGTTTCCTAGGAGGAGGAGACACTGATTCTGCCGAGGCTTCGCTGGGCCTGGGGGTTTCCAGGATCTCCCCCTCCCTAGATTGGGTGACGGACAGCTACTTGACCCTCCTCGTGGTACACACTGGAGGGGTGTGTGTGAAGATTTCCTGGCGGTCGCGTCAGCACCCTTTCATACCTGCCCGCCTGTCGGCCTGCTTCAGGCTGTGCCTGCCCTGGAACTGGGAATTGACCCGCTCCTCTTTTCTTGCCCTTCCCCCCCTCCCTCCCCCCCCCCCCCCCAGGTCTTTTTCCGGGCAGGAACGCTGGCCAAGTTGGAGGAGCAGCGTGACAAACAGATGAGCAGAAACATCACGCTTTTCCAGGCCGCCTGCCGGGGCTTCCTGGCTCGTCAGCAGTTCAAGAAGAGGAAGGTAGGCTCACGGAGGCCTCCTGCGAAGTCAGTGGGAAAGCCAGGCACACACACACACGTGCGCGCGCTCAGCCTTCCCCAGTCCCCTCTTGCGTTTACATACCGTGCCGCCGACTCCCCAACTTAGCCAAACATGGGCAGCTCTGCCTCCCACGCGCCAGGCACAGTCCCAGGCAAGCGCTCCCTGCCTCCCCCGGGAGCGCGACTGGGACTTCCTGAGCCTGGGGAGGAGGAGGCTCGCCAGTCTTCCCAGAGGTAGGAAAGCTTTCTCTCTCTCTCTCTCTCTCTCTCTCTCTCTCTTTCTCTCTCTCTCTCTCTCTCTCTCTCTCTCTCTCTCTCTCTCTCTGTGTTTGTGTTTTTGTGCGCACCCTTCTCGTCCCCGCATAAGGCAAGGGCAGAGGGCTAGAGCAAGGGTCTCTCCCATTCCCCCCTCCCTTGAAGAAGCACCGTTGGGCAAGGATACTGTGGAGTTATGTTTCTACGGGGAGGTCTGTCTGTTCTGCAGGGCTCTGAAGCAGCACGTCAGCTTCTTCTCTCGTGCAACTGTGTGGCGGGGGGGGGGAAGACACAGCTTTCTAGTAACGTCTTTATCGGGGGGGGTGCTTTGGGGGTCGGGGTGGTTTGAAGCACTGGGCTCTCCTTTGCGGTTGTTCGGCCTCTTTCTGCTTGCCGACCTCCCAGCACCACCTTCCACCACCACCCCTCCCAGCTCTCCTTCTCCCCCCCCTTGGCAGAGTCTTCAGCGGGACTCTTTTGGGCCCCTCTGTGTAGCCCTTCCACTCTTCTTCTTGGAAGCAAGCTTCTTTCAGAGTGGGTTTGCTTTGATATATTGCCTCTGTACAGTCCTGGGCACGCTTATGTCATGATACAGATGTGACGGGAGGCCTTTCCCCTGGGTGTGTGTGGGGGGAAGCGCTTGTCCTCCCAGGGTGAGATATTTTTATTTATTTATTTATTTATTTATTTATTTATTGCTTGCATTTAGACCCCGCTCTCCCAGCCATGGCCGGCTCAGGGGGGTAGTGCCTGGAGAAATGCAGGTTCCATCCCCTGCTCTAGCCTCTCTGTGGGGAGCCAGGCAGAGGTGCCTCCCCACCAATGCTCCCTCTCAGCTGCGGAGTCTTGTGAGCAAAAACTCTTCTTTGTGAGCTCCTGGCATTAAAGTTGCGAGCGAGCGATTTGGCTACTGCATCAGTCAGTTTGCTCTGGCGCCCTCCTTCCTGAGCTGAGACAGAAACACATGAGCCGGAGGCTAAAACACTGTGAGCTAGCTCACACTGACTCAGCTTAGGGGGAACACTGCTCCCCACCATCTTCGGCAGCTTCAGCCTGGATCTTTGGCTCCCATTTGGCATCCAAACTGGAAAGGGTTTCTTTGGGCAGTCCGCATGACATCATCCCCGAATTGTCCACTTTCCGAATTTTCCCCTGCTTTGCTGAGATCTTCCCCAAGCCTGACTTGATACCGTGTTCTCGGAACGATGACAGTCAGAGTTCCTCTGGTGCCACGCGGGTAGGAAGGGGTGCGTTTCTGAAGGTCTTCCTCACAGGGGCTCCGTTTCCCTGCCTCTTCCCTGGCAGCTGCCATTCCTTCTCCCCCACGCCACCAGTGTGCTTCTTTGGAGCATTTCCCCCTTATTGAGTTGGACTATAAGGAAGGCCAAGCACCGAAGAATAGATTCTTTTGAACTATGGTGCTGGAGAGGACTCTTGAGAGTCCCTTGGACTGCAAGAAGATCAAATCAGTCAATCCTAAAAGAAATAAACCCTGACTGTTCCCTGGAAGGCTAGATAATGAAACTGAAGCTCAAAAACTTTGGCCACCCAATGAGGAGCACTCACTGGAGAAGACCCTGATGCTGGGAAAGATTGAAGGTCAAAGAAGACGGGGACGGCAAAGGATGAGATGGTCAGACAGTGTCATAGATGCAACGAACATGAAGTTGAGCCAACTTCAGAGGACGGCGGAAGACAGGAGGGCCTGGCGGGATCTGGTCCATGGGGTCACAAACAGTCGGACTCGACCGTGCGAAAGAACAACAAGAACAGGGCAACAACATCATAGCAATCTATTGCCACAGTCTATTAGTTCCTCTAAATCCCCAGCTTTTACTTAAATAAAATTAGCCCTTTTCATCGCACAGCTGCAACGAAAGAGACTTCCTTTTTTTAACAGGAGCTGAGGATTCAGAGGAATGAGTCGATGGCAGCAATACATCATTATGATGCTCCAGCTTTGTAGCTGGCCAGCAGTTGCACAGACTGTTAAAAATCCCTCTGGTGGCATGGGGTTGGGGGGATGGTGGTGGCAGGGGCAGAGGGAAGGAGAGTGTGGAGGAAACTCTTGTATGGACACTCCATTGTCTCCAGTAACACCTCTGCCTTTGCAGCAGTCAGGGGGCTTCGAGGAGACTCATCACTGGGCGGAAGCAACGTTTGCCACCTTGGGGTGGAAGCACCCTTAACACGTACATGGATCAGGACAACATTTGGATGTTTTGAATTTTCTCCCCCCCCCCAAATGCTCCCTCTAAGCTGTGGAGTTTTGTGAGGAAAAAATTCTTCTTTCTGAGCAACTGGCATTAAAGTTGTGAGCAGTGTTCCCTCTAAGCTGAGTTAGTGTGAGCTAGCTCACAGTTTCTTAGCCTCCAGCTCACACATTTTTGTCTTAGCTCAGGGAGGATGGCTCCAGAGCAAACTAACTGATGCGGTAGCCAAATCACCTGCTCACAACTTTAATGCCAGTAGCTCACAAGGTAGAATTTTTGCTCACAGGACTCCACAGCTTAGAGGGAACATTGGTTGTGAGTGAGCGATTTGGCTACTGCGTAAGCCAGTTTGCTCTGGAGCCCTCCTTCCTGATCTCAGGCAAAAATGTGTGAGCCGGAGGCTAAAAAACTGTGAGCTAGCTCACACTCACTCAGCTTAGAGGGAACAGTGCCCACCACCACCATCTTGCAAACCCCGCTGGGGTATTCCCTTTAGGATCGGGTTTGCTGAGAGGCGTGGATCCCAAGTGTCAGTACAGGACGCTTCACAGTTGCAGCTCTTTCCCACTGCTTTAGGGCTTGGGGGGGAGGGCTCTGTGCAGCAGGGCAGTCGTGGGCATGGCCTGCTCTGTTTATTATTGAGCGCAGACTTCCAAGTGGGCCCTGTGGTTTTTGGCAAGACTAGGCTTTACAGCTGGATTAGGGAGAAGGCTATCTGCAAGCAGTAAAAGTTGGAAGGAATGTGACAGGGTGATAAAGAACAAGTGGACTGCATTCACACACAAAAACACACACACACAGCGCATGCAGGTTTTCCCACTGCTCTGCCTGAGCCCTGTAAACTGCAATAGCAGAAGTGGGAAAATAGCCCCTTGTGAGGCTGCAAAACCTAAAAAGGAGAGTTCGACTTTGACGGATCCTTTTTTGAGCAGCCAGGAAGGTTGATAAGAACATAAAGAGAAGCCATGTTGGATCAGGCCAGTGGCCCATCCAGTCCAACGCTCTGTGGCCAAAATGCAGGTCCCATCAGGGGGGGTCTACCAGTTCTGTTGACTGGGTGCTCTGTGTCCCCCCCACCCCCTTCTTGCCTCTCCAATCCAGATCCAGGACCTGGCGATCCGCTGCGTTCAGAAGAATATCAAGAAGAACAAAGGGGTGAAAGACTGGCCTTGGTGGAAGCTCTTCACGACTGTCCGGCCCCTCATTGAAGTTCAGCTCACCGAGGACCAGATCCGGGGCAAAGATGTGCGTAGGAGCCCTGGGCGGAAGGGGGAGGGGAGCTGCTTCTCCTGAGTATTGTGGGCTTCAAGGCGGGGGGGGGACTGCCTGAACCTTCCTGCCTGGATCCTTGGCCTGTATGGCCCACCCTTGTCTATGTGGCTCGGCCGGGGCTTGCCATGTTCTTGTGCAGCTTGCCGAGCCAGACCTGCTTGGTTTCAGCAGCAGAACTGCGCTCGTAGCACCTGCAAAAGTGTTCTCATAATCAATGCAGGAAGCCCCGCTGGGCGCACTCAGCCTGCTGTGCCGTCTCTAGAGATGCTTCAGCAGGGCCCCCTTGCCTACCATGATCTTGTCGGAGAGCAAGCCGTATATCAGGTGCCGTTATCGGAAAGCATCGAGTTAAAATGGCAGTTAGCAGGTTTTCTGGGGAGGCCGAATCCCAATTTTGATGTAACTGTTGTTTATCACTGTGTCTTCTGTGCAGGCACACTTGGGAACTGCGCATGCGCAGTTCCCATATGTGCCTGCACAGAAGAGCACTCAATGCACAACAGTTACAGGTAAGTGCAGTTATGTTTTCCAAGTCTGCGGCAGCTAAGAGCCCCACTCTGTCTCGTAGATGAGTGGAGAGCCTTCTCCTTAAATCCCAGGCTTATCCAAGAAGGGCCGGGTGTAGCTCCTGTTTCAGTTCCCGGTCCTGAGGCAGAGCAGCATGAAGCCCCTCATTTCTTTCCGGCCGCCTGACCCTCGTCCTTTGTCCTCAACAGGAGGAGATTCAGCAGCTGAAAAGCCGGCTGGAGAAAGTGGAGAAGGAGCGCAACGAACTGCGGCTGACCGGTGACCGCCTGGAGAGCAAGGTGTGGTCCTGGAGTCCCCCAATGCTCTCATGGGATCACTTGTTGCTTCCGGGAGTGTTCTGGGAGCTGCACGGGCCTTCAGCGCAATGCGACAACTCCTGGCTTCTAGAGACCTTAGCCAGGATTTTTTAAGCCAGGGAGCATTTAAATTGCTTAGGGGGCACTGGCTAATCAGATTAACCCAGGGGAGAAGACCGTGACGCCCTGGGCTGGATGGGAAGTCAGGGGGCCTTGCCAACATGTCGGGGGGGGGGGGCTGGCCCCGAGATGCCCCACTGTAGCTACGGGCCTGGCTTAGACTGGCAGTGTTAATCCTGGTAGCAAACAGGTTCAAGACTATCAGATTATTAAAGGCGATGGGACCAGAGTGGGCGGGTGACAACGGAGGGGCAGCAGCTAGGGTGAAACTTTACGGAGAGTTTGACAGAAGGGGACACAGTCCAGCCAAAACTGATCGGGGGGGTGGGGGTGGAGCAAGATTCGAGTCCAGTAGAACCTTAGAGACCAACGTGATTTTCAAGTTATAAGCTCTTAGAGAGTCAAAGCTCCTTTTGTGTTTGAGGGTAAGAACATAAGAGAACATAAGAACGTAAGAGAAGCCAAAGTTGGATCAGGCCAATGGCCCATCCAGTCCAACACTCTGTGTCACACAGTGGCCAAAAATACCAGGTGCCATCAGGAGGTCCAGCAGTGGGGTCGGGACACTAGAAGCCCTCCCACTGTTGCCCCCACCCCAAGCACCAAGAACACAGTGCATCACTTTGCCCCAGACCGAGAGTCCCTATCTATACCTTGTGGCTCAGAGCCACTGATGGACTCATAGCTCATAGCTCATAGCATATGGAGCCCTCCCATTGTTGACCCCCCCCCCCAAGCACCAAGAATACAGAGCATCCCTTGCCCCAAACTGAGAGTTCCCATCTATACCTTGTGGCTAATAGCCACCGATGGACTTCTGCTCCATATGCTTATCCAATTCCCTCTTGAAGCCGTCCATGCTTGTAGCCGCCGCCCCCTCCTGTGGCAGTGATTTGCACGTGTTAATTACTCCTTGGGTGAAGAAGGACTTCCTTTTATCCGTTCTAACCCGACCGCTCAGCAATTTCGTTGAGTGCCCACGAGTCCTTGTATTGTGAGAAAGGGAGAAAAGTACCTCTTTCTCTACCTGCTCTGCCCCATGCATCATCTTATAATGAGGTAATGAGGCAAAGAGGTGAGGGTGTGAGCGTATCCAGAGCATCAGAGCAGAAAGATGTGTAAGGAGAGATAGTCAGAAGCTGAGGGACTAGCTGTCCAGGGATCTGTTCTGTGTTGGTTTCGGGCAGGCTGCGTCCCTGCTGCCTCAGAACCCTTCCCAGCAGTCAAAGGCTTGGGGCCACATCCTCTGTCTCTTGAAGGGTCCCACCATTCTACAGAATGGAAACCGTGTCCCTTTCCTGCCTCACCCTCCGGTTTACCACCTCCTAGATCACAGAGCTGAACTCGGAGCTGACTGACGAGAGAAACACGGGAGAATCCGCCTCCCAGCTCCTGGATGCTGAGACAGCGGAGCGGCTGCGAGCAGAGAAGGATATGAAGGAGCTGCAGGTGAGCGGGGCGGAGGCCGCAAGTGGGGATGTCTCAGGCTGGGAGTACAGAGGAGAGCTCTGAGCAAACTTGGTGTTGTTTGATGTAGTGGTAAAGAGCGGCAGGACTCCAATCTTAGAATCCTTTTGGAAGGGTGTCATAACACAGATTTGGTCAATTACAGGTGTTGTATTCCAATTTACAACAGATCATATTCTTTTAAACCATTGGATGATGGAAGTTGGTCAGAATAGTATTAGTAAAACAGTGGCTATTTTACTTGCAGCAGCCAAAAATCCAGTTGCAGCAAAATGGAAAGATAACATTGGCCCAAATAGACAAAACTGGTGTTCCAAATTATGGAATATGTATACAATGGCAAAAATAACGGATAATATTAATAACACATATACTCCTTCTTCCAAGTCTGATTTTGTACCTGTATGGTTCCCTATTTTAGATCATTTATCTCAACAAGAGGAAATACCAAATATAATTAATATGTAACATCTTTGGTAAATTGTTTATTGTTCAAATTAGTATATATGCTCATGTTTTGTGTAATGTAGCGTTTTCTGCCTGCTATGTTTTTGATAATAAAAATAAATATATCAAAAGCAAAAGCAAAAAAAAAAAAGAGCGGCAGGACTCTAGTCTGGAGAACCGGGTTTGATTCCCCACTGGTGTGACCTTGGGCCAGTCACAGTTCTCTCAGAGCTGTTCTCTCAAGAGCAGTTCTCTCAGAGCTCTCTCAGCCCCAAACACCTCACAGGGTGTCTGTTGTGGGGAGAGGAAGGGAAGGAGATTGTAAGTCGCTCTGAGGCTCCAAGTGAAGGGCGGGGTATAAATCCAATCTCTTCTTCTCCTCTTCAAATGCCCTCGGTGCCAGCCTGTCCCCACAATTCTCATGGCACCCTTTGGTCCCTGTGTCGTAGCCCTGGGCTTCCCCATGCATCGGTGACTGAGCCCCAATCGGTTGGGTTTACAAGGAAAACTGCAGCGCCAGTTGACCTCCCAACACTCCTTGCCAACATTTTGCAAATATTTAGGTTGCAGAATCCAGTAGGTGTTCGCTTTTAGAAACAGACTTGTCAGTTGGCTTCTTTTGCCACCAAGAAATGCATGCTTCTCCTTATTGCAGCCTCTCCAGCACTAGAAAACACACAGGGAGTTTCTAAGGAGCCAAGAATGCTGCTGTTTGCAACCCTTTTTTTGGTTCTGCCCACGTTGCTTGTGCCAAGTAGAAGTTCTGCCGGGACCACCCTCTTGGGCTGTGCGGTGTGTGTGTGTGTGTGGGGGGGGGAAGGCAACTGCCAGGTCTTCTTCCGTGTGTTGAAGTGGCGCGTGTCTCCCTTCAGGCCAAGTATGACGCCCTCAAGAAGCAGATGGACTCCATGGAGATGGAAGTGATGGAGGCCCGTCTCATCCGCGCAGCGGAGCTCAACGGAGAAATGGACGACGACGACTCCAGTGAGTCTCTTTCCTGCAAGCCTCCAGACTTGGGGGTGCCCAACCTGTGACCATTAAGAGGCCTGCTCCAACACCCAAAATCTCTCCCTCTGGAGAAGGTCAGGACACCGCTTCTCTACTGAGAGAAAAGTGGAGACGTTGTGGGGTTCTGAAGCCCGCCAGAGCAGGACGAGAAAAGGGGCAACATTCTGATCCCCCACCCACCCACCCAGGAAATTTCTCCATTGCAAATGCAAAACTCCTGGGATGCAGAGGAGAAAATTTCCTGTGTGAAGGTCAGAATGTCTCCTCTGTGTCAAAAACAGCTGATGGACGTGTTCCCCTTCCACCCCCCCCCTCCACAGTTATATGGGTCTGAAAGGAGCCAGGTGATATTCCGGTTAGGATGCATCACAGCTCACCTGAAGTTTGACATTGTGCTGCCAACGTTTGCTTTCCCCTGGCCGGCCGGCCTGCCCCAGCTGCCCCATTTCCTTAGCCTTTTTTCTCCCTGCCTTCTTGATTTAAAAACAAACGAACCCTAACCCAGGAATCCTGGAATTGGGGCAGCAAAATGGATTGTATGGATACAGAAGCTAACTTGTGCCTTAATATTGGACTGCAGAGTTTGGGTTTCCGTGGCGTGAACCAGAAGGGTTAAGCTGACCATGTAAATTATAAAAGTACAAAATTTATTAGAATCCCTACCTTGATGGAGTGACACACATTCAGACTTATGAAATCTCATTTACCAGAATAATTGGAGTGGATATGGTTATACCTATGGACCATCATTAATACCAGTAACACAATTACAAACATATAAGGATACAACTTCTGGTCTTTATATAAGTGTACTCAGGGCTTTTTTTGTAGAAAAGCCCAACAGGAACTCATTAGTATAATTGGCCACACCCAACAGCAGAAACTCATTAGCATATTAGGCCACACCCCTGACAGCACAGGTCATTAGCATATGAGGCCACACTCCTGTGTTACCAGAAGTGTGCTCATCCAGCCACACCCACCTTTTGCTTCTTATTCTGTTTACCTTGTTTGTTGTCAAAACCCAGGGCTTTTTTTGTAGCAGGAACTTCTTTGCATGTTAGGCCACACACCCCTAATGTAGCCAATCCTAATGAGTTTCTGCTGTTGGGTGTGGCCTATTATGCTAATGTGTTCCTGCTGGGCGTGGCCAACTCAGGAGCCTGCCGGAACTCTGTTCCTGTGCGTTCCTGCCCAAAAATAGCCTTGAGTATACTAAAGATCTTGTATACATATGTTTGAATGTGTGTCTATACTATGTTGTAATAGTGACCACTGAGGAAGGCACTGTGAGGCCGAAACGCGTTTGGTCTTCAGTTGGAAAGTGTTGACCCTTCATGTGTATTAATATTTGATATGCTTTTATTAGTCTGATACTTAAAAAAAAATTTTTTTACCTGAATATATTTTAATATGTGTACACCCTAATAAATTTTGTAGTTTTATAATTTACATGGTCAGCTTAACCCTTCTGGTTCGCAGTGTTATCTTGGGTTGAGTTCCCCCCCCCTTTTCTTCCAGTTTTTGTGGTGTGAAACTGGCGTATATTTTGGCCAAGAGAGACCACAGCTCAGTGGCTGGACCACGCACTAGCCGAGTTCCTTGGTGGTAGAAAGTGCCATCAAGTCTCAGCCAACGTATAGCGACCCCGTAGTGTTTTCAAGGCAAGAGATGAACAGAGGTGGTTTGTCTGTTGCCTGCCTCCGTGTAGCAAGCCTGGACTTCCTTAGTGGTCTCCCATCCAAGGACTAACCAGGGCCGACCCGGCTTAGCTTCTGAGATCTGACGAGATCAGGCTAGCCTGCGACATCCGGGTCAGGGCTCCAAGGAACCCAAGTCTCTTAGGTAGCCAAAAAGCTCCTGGTGTGTGTTTCAAAGCCCATATTTCCCACCAAAGATCTGTGAATTGTGCTTTTGTGGTAGTGCAGGCAGTGTTACGTTGATCATGAATGAAATGTTCACTGACACGTTAGATCTGAAGAATGCCCATGAAAGCTTACACCAGAATTAAAGTTGTTGGTCTTAAAGGTGCCACTGGACTCCAACTTTGTTCTGCATTAGATTCCAGTTAACTAACTTCGCCGCTGCTTCCACATGGGGATTTTTCTCCACGTGGGAAGCAGGAAGCCTCTGGACTTAATGAGCGCTTCCAACCAATGTCATGCTCATTGCAGAACTTTCCCCTTTTGAGCTGGATCACAGGAAAAATTCCTTTGATGTGGCTCAAAAGGAGGAGCTGTGGGTGAAGCATCCTCACGGACCCCCCGCCCACAGCCAGTACAGGGAGGGGGGGAGGGAACCAAGTGAAGCCATGCCTCCAAAATGGTAATGATAAGCTTGACATTTAGCTCCGTCAAGATTTGTCTCAGGTGAACTATACGGCTCAGCTGGCTCCATCGCACATGTGCCTTATGTGCAGATGCTGTGGAGGTAAAGGGGCAGGGCAGGGCGTGCATATGCCGTTCCCACCTGCTCTCACACAGTTTGCAGTGGCCGCCGCCATAGCAGCATGCGTTTCAAACCCTCACGGGGGGCAGCCCTCAGGCAATTTTGCAGAGGAAGAAGAGGCAGAGGGCCGAACTGGCTGTGGGACAAGTTGGGAGGGGCGGGTGGGAGCCCGTCGTCCGATGGGAACGAGCCGAGAGGGACGTTTCCATTTCGGCTTGATGTCCCGTGTCGTCTGTGTTTGGCCTGCCTTATTTCCACTGCCGCCGGCCGTACGTCTCTGGTGTTCCTCCGGCACCATTTTTAACGCAAGTGATGCGAAAAGGCAGTCGAAATGAAGCAGGGACATTCAGCATGAGGAAAGAGAAAGCCCAAGGAGAGATGGAGGTTCCTTTCTCACGAGGGCCAGCCGAGGACCTTTGCATCGGAACAGGCAGCCTTCATAAGAAGAGAGCACGCCGGATGCTTCAAAGGACCCAAGAATGCTGCCAGTTGCCGCCCTTCTCAGCCCTGGCACTGCCCACATGGTTTGTGCCAAGTCGGAGTTCAGCCAGGGCCACCCTCTTGGTCTGCTGCAGCTGCTCTTAGGGTTATTTCGGCTCCCCCTTCTCCAAAGGCAGTCGAGTCTCTGGGCCTCGTGGCTTCCAGAGACAAGCTTGGCTCTTTGCGTCTAGGTCAGTGGTGGCGAACCTATGGCACGCGTGCCAGAAGCGGCACTCAGAGCCCTCTCATTGGGCACGCGTGCCATTGCTCCAGCCAGGCCCAGACCGTCATTAAAGCGTGGAATTCTCTGCCAAATAATTTTAAGTAAATAGAAGCATTTGGGATTGCTTTCCTTACTTTGTTTGGGTCATCTTATGTTAATGTATGAGTTGTTTTTTTTTTCTAAACGAAAACCTCAGTATTCAGGTTAAATTGCCGTGTTGGCACTTTGCGATCAATAAGTGGGTTTTGGGTCGCAGTTTGGGCACTCGGTCTCTAAAAGGTTCACCATCACTGGTCTAGGTGAAGCCCCTGCCCCAGTTGCACGGCCTTTGGCTCAGAGCAAAGGTTAGCTCTCCCTGGGATCGTTCTCAGTGGCACAGGCTGTCTGCTACCACCCCCCCCGTCTCTCTTCTCCCCCCCCCACAGGTGGCGAGTGGCGCCTGAAGTACGAACGCGCCATGCGGGAAATCGATTTTACCAAAAAGCGCTTGCAGCAGGAGCTGGAGGACAAGCTGGAGGTGGAGCAGCAGAGCAAGCGGCAGCTGGAGAGACGGGTGAGTGTCCGTCCGTCTTCTCTCTTGCCCACCCATGTGGGCATTCCCACCCTGGAGCAGCGGGCAGCCAGTCGCCGCTTGCCGGGTGGTGCCGTGGCCACTCCAAAGCGTCTCCTGCTGGGCCTCTCAGCATCCCAGCATGCCCCTCTTCTCGGCAGGCCGCCCCAGACCAGCGCCCGTTCCTTGAAGCAGAACATCTGTTTGGAATTGCAGGCCCTGGTCTCATCCTGACCAAACATGGATAGGGTGTGTGGGGGCGTTTTTTGGTTGCCTGTAAAGCTCCTGTTTGTCACACACGCTCACACTCAGGGTGTGTTCAGACGCGCCGTTTGATCTGGTGGCGTGACAGTTCAGCAACGGATTTTATATGCACGATTACACAGTCAACATCTGCTTCCTGTCCCCAGCTGTGGGTTTCCGGCTCAAAACCCCTTTAACCCGGAGTATTTTGTTACCAGGTCCCAAAGTGATGTTTTCTCAGCTCTCCCGTTTATAGCCGTAGTTTCCCCATGTGATTGCTCCTCCAGTGTCAAGCCACTTCCGATGATTTAAACCCCTTCCCCGCTCGGAAGCCCAAGGCTTCCGCTTTTCGGACACCTTTTTTTTTTGTGCGTCGGCGGTATGTGCATAAGCGGAACTCCACTCCCGCATTTTTAAAACCAACATTTAAACAGTGGCTAGTTTTGAGTTCGGGATCCCAAAGAGGCCAGTTTCGGGTGAAAAATTTAAAGGGAAGTCGTCTGTCAAAGCGGTGAAATCACGGTGCTCTGTGGAACTGTCAAGCGAAATCCGTGATTTGCCCTAGTGGTTCTGCACATGCGCAAGGATAAAGTTTTTCAATTCCATGGATGAACAGTTATGCGCATGCGCAAACAGAAACAAAAACAAAAAATCCCGACACACGCTCCTGTGTGATCACGATTGTCCAGAGTAAAAATAATCGCGTCAGAACCAGACCAGTTCAAAACACTCTCAGCACGCCGTCTGAACGCACCCTCACACATACAAGAAACCTATTTCAGTTTTTTCTTTTTTATCGGCTTATTGGCTGCGTTTGCCATCATTTTGCGTGGGTTGCTGGCACAGTATAGCCAACATGCCACTTTGGTGCAATCCTTTTTTCTTTTTCTTTTTTGGTATTTTTGCATTTCTCTCTGTGTGTGCATGCATGTGTGCCCGTGCCTGGAAGTCACGGCGACCTCTGGCGACTCCTACTGGGGCATGAAGGACATTCAGAGAAGTGGCTTGATAGCCTGCCTCTGGCCTCCCGGCCCTGGTATTCTCTGGAGGTCTCCCATCCAAGTACTTGCCAGGGTCAGCCCTGCTTAGCTTCCGAGAGCTGACGAGATCAGGCTGGCCTGGGCTATCCGGGTCAGGGCGCTTCTGTGAAATCCTGATCCTCCTTGCACCCATGCCTTACGTATTTATTTATTTAGATCATTTCTGTGCCACGTCTTCAGAGTTCCGCTCGAGGAGGCTTCCCATTAAAAACCACAGCATTAAAACACCAGCCATCAAAACACATTAAAGCCCAGCACTTGGTGTCTGGATAGAAGAATGAGACTTGGCGCGCGGGGCCCCATGTTGGGGAAGGAAGGACCCAAGCTGATAGTTGGGGGCCTTGCCTTGCTGTGCCAACCATCTGTGGCATGCATTCGTCTCTACAGGAGAGGGGTGGGGTGGAGGGCAGGGGAGCTGGTTGAGCTTTGGCGGACGGTCCAGCTGTGCTTCCTTCTCCCAACTCTGTGGTCCCACAATCCCCTCCCTCCCTCCCAGTTTGAGAACCAGCTTGGTGTAGTGGTTAGGAGTGTGGACTCTAATCTGGGAGAACTGGGTTTGATTCCCCGCTCCTCCTCGTGCAGCTTCTGGATGACCTCGGGCAAGCCATAGTTCTGTCGGAGCTGTTCTCTCAGGAGCAGTTCTCGAAAGAGCTCTCTCAGCCCCACCTACCTCCCAGGCAATGTTCCCTCTAAGCTGCGAGGTCTTGTGAACAAAAATCCTACTTTGTGAGCCACTGGCATTAAAGTTGTGAGTGAGCGATTTAGCTGCTGCATAAATTAGTTTGCTCAGGAGCCGTCCTTCCTGAGCTAAGACAAAAAGGTGTGAGCCAGAGGTTAAAAAATTGTGAGCTAGCTCACACTGACTCAGCTTAGAGGGAACACTGCTCCCAGGGTGTCTGTTGTGGGGAGGGGAAGGGAAAGGAGACTGTCAGCCGCTCTGAGACTCCTTCGGGTGGTGAAGGGCGGAGTATAAATCCCACTTTCTTCTCCTCCTCCTCCTCTCTGCAGCTGACCGACCTGCAGGCCGACAGCGAGGAGAGCCAGCGCGCCCTGCAGACCCTGAAGAAGAAGTGCCAGCGCCTGACAGCAGAGCTGCAGGACACCAAGCTGCACCTGGAAGGCCAGCAGGGCCGGAATCACGAGCTGGAGAAGAAGCAGCGCAGGTGCACGGGGGGAGGGGAGGGGGCCGGGTTCCCCCGGGACCAGCTACACCCCCCTCCCTGCGAGGGTTCTTGTGAGGTCCGCTGCTCCTCGCTGGATCCCAGGAAATCGGGGCTCAGCCATCAGTTTTTAAAACCCAGGCTGTAGCGGGGCTGAGGTGCCAACGAGCGGTGGCTTGGCAGAGATAGCAGTGCTGGACCCAGTGGTCTGGTTTCCGATGCATGCGAGAAAAGAACATCACAGGCGTCACACTGGGCCAGTTCCCCTGTCCTTCCCCACTGGGTTGTAGCAGAGAGAAATGCAGGAGTCGGGTTAGAACAGATAAAAGCAAGTCCTTCTTCACCCAAAGAGTGATTTACACATGGCATTCACTGCCACAGGAGGTGGCGGCAGCTACAAGCATGGACAGCTTCAAGAGGGAATTAGATAGGCATATGGAGCAGAGGTCCATCAGTGGCTATTAGCCACAAGGTATAGCTAGGGGTTTTAGTCCAATGCTGCAAAGAACAATACCACATAGGAACCTGGAATGTAAGATCTATGAATCAAGGTAAGCTTGACGTGGTCAAAAATGAGATGGCAAGACTGAACATCGATATCCTAGGAATCAGTGAACTAAAGTGGACAGGAATGGGCGAATTTAACTCAGAAGACCATTATATCTACTACTGTGGCCAGGAATCTCGTAGAAAAAATGGTGTGGCCTTTATAGTCAACAAGAGAGTGCAAAAGGCAGTACTGGGATACAATCTCAAAAATGACAGAATGATTTCTGTCCGATTCCAAGGCAAACCATTCAACATCACAGTAATCCAAGTCTATGCCCCAACCACTGATGCAGAAGAGGCTGAAGTGGACCGGTTCTATGAAGACCTACAACACCTCCTAGAACTAACACCAAAAAATGATGTCCTCATCATCATAGGGGACTGGAATGCTAAAGTAGGAAGTCAAAAGGTAACTGGAATAACAGACAAGTTTGGCCTTGGAAAGCAAAATGAAGCAGGGCAAAGGTTAACAGAGTTTTGTCAAGAGAACACACTGGTCATAGCGAACACCCTTTTCCAACAACCTAAGAGGCGACTCTACACATGGACATCACCAGATGGGCAACACCGAAATCAGATTGACTATATAATTTGCAGTCAAAGATGGAGAAGCTCTATCCAGTCAGTAAAAACAAGACCTGGAGCTGACTGTGGTTCAGATCATGAGCTACTCATTGCAAAATTCAGACTTAAACTGAAGAAAATTGGGAAAACCACGAGGCCATTCAGGTTTGACCTAGATCGCATCCCTGATGAATATACAGTAGAGGTGAAGAATAGATTCAAGGGTCTGGATTTGATAGATAGAGTGCCTGAAGAACTATGGACAGAGGTTCGTGACATCGTACAGGAGGCAGCAATCACCACCATCCCAAAGAAAAAGAAATGTAAGAAAGCAAAGTGGCTTTCTGATGAGGCTTTACAAATAGCAGAGGAAAGAAGGAAAGCGAAAGGCAAAGGCGAAAAGGAAAGATTTACCCAACTGAACGCAGATTTCCAGAGAACAGCAAGGAGAGATAAGGAGGCCTTCCTGAATGAACAGTGCAAAGTAATAGAAGAAAACAATAGAATGGGAAGGACTAGAGATCTCTTCAAGAAAGTTGGAGAAATCAAGGGAGCGTTCCATGCAAAGCTGGCCATGATAAAGGACAAAAACGGTAGGGACCTAACAGAAGCAGAAGAGATTAGGAAAAGATGGCAAGAATACACAGAAGAACTATACAAGAAAGACCTCGATGTCCTTGACAACCACGACGGTATAATCACTGACCTCGAGCCAGACATCCTGGAATGTGAAGTTAAATGGGCCTTAGAAAGCATTGCTAACAACAAAGCTAGTGGAGGTGATGGTATTCCAGCTGAGCTATTCAAAGTCTTAGAAGATGATGCTGTTAAAGTGCTGCACTCCATTTGCCAGCAAATTTGGAAAACGCAACAGTGGCCACAGGATTGGAAAAGGTCAGTATACATTCCAATCCCAAAGAAGGGCAATGCCAAGGAATGTTCAAACTATCGCACAATTGCACTCATATCACACGCTAGCAAGGTCATGCTCAAGATCCTACAAGCTAGGCTTCAACAGTACGTGGATAGAGAACTACCAGAAGTACAAGCTGGGTTTCGAAGAGGTAGAGGAACTAGAGATCAAATTGCCAACATTCGCTGGATTATGGAGAAAGCAAGAGAGTACCAGAAAAATATCTACTTCTGCTTCATTGACTATGCTAAAGCTTTTGACTGTGTGGATCACAACAAACTATGGCAGGTCCTTAAAGAGATGGGAGTACCAGACCACCTCACATGTCTCTTGAGAAACCTGTATAAGGGCCAAGAAGCGACAGTTAGAACCGGATATGGAACAACTGATTGGTTCAGCATAGGAAAAGGAGTACGACAAGGATGTATATTGTCGCCTTGCTTATTTAATATATATGCAGAGTACATCATGCGAAATGCTGGCCTGGATGAATCACAAGCGGGAATTAAGATTGCTGGGGAAAAGATCAACAACCTCAGATATGCAGATGATACCACTCTAATGGCTGAAAGTGAAAAGGATCTAAAGAGCCTCTTGCTCAGAGTAAAAGAGGAGAGCGCAAAAGTGGGCTTGAAGCTCAACATCAAAAAAACTAAGATCATGGCATCCGGCCCCATCACTCCTTGGCAAATAGAAGGGGAAGTCGTGGAAGTAGTGACAGACTTCACGTTCCTGGGATCCCAGATCACCGCAGACTGTGACTGCAGCCATGAAATTAAAAGACGCCTGCTCCTTGGGAGGAAAGCGATGGCGAACCTAAACAGCATGATAAAAAGTAGAGACATCACCCTGCCAACAAAAGTCCGCATGGTCAAAGCAATGGTATTCCCAGTAGTCATGTATGGCTGTGAGAGTTGGACTATAAGGAAGGCCGAGCGCCGAAGAATAGATTCTTTTGAACTATGGTGCTGGAGGAGACTCTTGAGAGTCCCTTGGACTGCAAGAAGAACAAATCAGTCAATCCTCAAAGAAATCAACCCTGACTGTTCCCTGGAAGGCCAGATAATGAAACTGAAGCTCAAATACTTTGGCCACCAAATGAGAAGGGAGCACTCACTGGAAAAGACCCTGATGCTGGGAAAGATTGAAGGTCAAAGAAGACGGGGACGGCAAAGGATGAGATGGTTAGACAGTGTCAGCGATGCAACGAACATGAAATTGAGCCAACTTCGGAGGACGGCGGAAGACAGGAGAGCCTGGCGGGAGATTGTCCATGGGGTCGCGAAGAGTCGGACTCGACTGTGCGACTGAACAACAACAACATAGCTAGGGGCTCTGGGGCAAGTGATGCTCTGTCATCTTGGTGCTTGGGGGGGGTCAACAGTGGGAGGGCTTCTAATGTCCTGGCCCCACTGGTGGACCTCCTGATGGCACCTGGTATTTCTGGCCACGATGTGATACAGAGTGTTGGACTGGATGGGCCGTTGGCCTGATCCAGCATTGGCTTCTCTTTGTGTTCTTAGGTTCTTAGGAAACACCCCACTCCATCCTGCTCCTACCGAACGAGCATGTTCTCTCTTTCCAGTGGTGGTGGTGATGGTGGTGGTGGAAAGGGCCCTTGGGTCACACTCACAACTGACTTGTGGCGATCCTGTAGGGTTTTCAAGGCTAGAGAGGTCCAGAGGTGGTTTGCCATGGCCTGCTTCTGCGTAGCAACACTGGATTTCCCTGGCGGTCTCCCATCCAAGTGCTAACCGGGGCCGACCCTGCTTAGCTGTCCAGATCTGACAAGATCGGGCTAGCCTGGGCCATCCAGGTCAGGGCGTGGCCCTACTGATGGTGGAAAGTGCTGTCAAGGCCTAGCTGACCTGTAGCGACCCTGTAGGGTTTTCAAAGCAAGAGACATTCAGAGCGAGTTTGCCATCGCCTGCGGCTGCTTAGCAATTCTGGACTCCCTCAGTGGTCTCCCATCCAAGTACTAACCCAGGCTGACCCTGCTTAGCTTCCCAGATTGGATGAGATTGGGCTCGCCTACGCCATCCAGGTCTGGGCCTTTTTCTTATACCAGATTTTATTGGGAGATTTTTAGCCTGCTGCCCCCTCCAGTCCCCCATCCCCATCTGGCAGGACTTCAAAGCAGCTTACGGACGTAGGTGTGCATTAGGTAAAGGTAAAGGTTTCCCTTGCTCGAAAGCCAGTCGAATCCAACTCTAGGGTTGCGGTGCTCGTCTCCGTTTCCAAGCCGAAGAGCCAGCGCTGTCCAAAGACCTTTCCATGGTCATGTGGCCAGCATGACTAGATGCCGAGGCGCACAGAACATTGTTACCGTCCCAACAAAGCAGTACCTATTTATCTACTTGCAATGTCTTGCTTTCGAACTGCTAGTTTGGCAGGAGCTGGGGCCAGAGACGGGAGCTCACTCCATCATGCGGCACTTGGGTTTCGAACTGCTGAACTACCCACCTTCTGGTCTGCAGTTCAGCGTCTTAACCACTTGAGCCACCACAGCACAACACAGAACATATCAACATATTAATGCAAACGCCCCCACCCCACCCCCAAGGCAGAAAATGCCCCTGGAATGTCTCTGCCACACTTGCTCAGGTGCCCTGACTTTGCTAGGCTGTGCTTTGACATTGGACCCCGGTGGGCAACACCCCTAGTTCTCTTGGCTTCTACCCAAGACCCGTCAGTTGGCGAGAGTCGCTTTTGTCTAATCCTTTCCTCCCCTGCCTCCATAGGGCCAGACTGGCAGCAGGGCCTGTCTTTATCCGCACGCCAGCACTGCGAAGTGGACTCGGGCTGCGACGCAGGGATGCGCTGTGCTCCAGCCCGCCTCTTGGCAGCAGAGGAGCATGTGAACCGCATCCAATCCCAGCACTCTCTGCACTGAGCCAGGATGCTGTTTCCCGTCATACATAAAAAAACACCCTCATTCCATTCTCTACCAGGGCACCGTTTAAGCTCCGCAACCCAC